TAGAAGGCGGCTTATAAATTAATGTTTTAAGGGAATAGTACGATTACGCGTTAGTAGAGTACTTTAGCGTTATAAGGACGGTTAATTTAATCCGAAGGACGTGTGACTAGCCGGGTCTTTATAAATATATAAAAGACTACGTAAAAAAGTATAACGTTTACTAGTATATAAAAGTATATAGATACTTACTATATAGCGAATTAAGGCTATTACCTATACTAAAGGAAGTATAGAAGGAATTATTAATGGATTTTATTATAGATCTACCCCTAAGTAAGTATTCTAGGTATATTTATAATAGTTTACTCGTAGTTCTAGATAGATTTATAAAGATATTATACTATATCCCTATAAGGAAGACGATCTAAGTACCGGATCTTATAGATATACTACTCTATAACGTAGTCCGGCTCTATAGTATACTAAACGGTATAGTTTTAGATAGAGGTCTATAGATAATATCTAAATTTTAGAAGGATTTCTACTATACGCTAGGAATTAAGCGGAAATTTAGTACTATGTTCTATCTATAAATAGATAGATAGATAGAGCGGTAGAATTAGATAGTCGAGGCGTATTTACGCGTATATTATAACTATAAGTAGAATAACTAGGTAAGGTTAGTCTATATCGCGGAATTCGCGTATAATAATAGCCGATATATATTAACCTATGTAAGTCCGTTTAAAGTAAACTTTAGTTAGAACTATAATATATAGTTCTTAGAGACTTAGTTTAAAGTAGAATAACCTAATATTAAAGTAATAGAAATTACTATAGAACTATTCTAAACGTAAAGAAGCGTTATAAAGTTACTATAAGATACTATGAATTATAGTAAATCGCACTATAATAAGGGTAGAAAACCTATGATCTTTAATATTAGGGATAAAGTTTTACTAAATAGTAAGAATATTCGTAGTATTAGACTAAAGAAGAAGCTTAACTATACGATAATAGATCTATATAAGATTATTTATATAATTAATAACCAGGTATACGAGTTATAACTCCCTCCTACGTTAAAGATATATAATATATTCTATATTATACTTCTCGAGCTATTTTATGCCTTATTATTACCGGATCGTTCCGAATAGATACTATATAAAGTAGTTATATAAGAAGGTATAGATATCTATAAAGTTAAGTAGATACTTAGCTAGTAACGCGCCGAAGATGGCACGTAGCTATATAAAATTCGTTAGAAAGGATATAATCCTAACGAAGATACTTAGGAACCTATAATAAACATTAGTAAAGTAGCGATATTAGTATATAAGTAGTAATTAG